GAGGGTTCTAAAATTGATTTGGTACTGCCCGTGTCTATTAACAATTTTAATTTGGGGTTTTCTATTTCTATATATGGGAGTGGATTGTTTGAAATGAGATTAAATTCTACTAAGTCATTTCCTTGTTCGAGGCATTTATTCGAAAATTTGCATTTTGGGAATACTCATCGATTTGAGTTTCATCTTCTTCATTATTTTTATTTAAGGTTGGGCGATAATCAAAATTGTCTGTATTTTGATTGTCATCATAATTATTAACAAATAATTCTTCAGAAGTAAAGTTAGGTTTTTGATTACTGTTATTTTGGAAATAATTAAATCTTCTGTTATTATTGTTATTATTAAATCTATAATTCGGATTAAACTGCTTTCTATTGTACATCGAGGGGTTTCTCGATGTTGTCGACATTGGCTCAGGTTTGGGAAGTTGATTTTGGGGTATTTGGTTGGGTTTAAAAACGTTACGGGGAGGTCCAAAAACTTGAGCATTTGTCGGATAATTTCTATTTACCTGACGTGGTAGGACATTAATAGGTTGACTAGACCAAACTGGTCGAAAATTTTGTGGTTGTAATTGAAAATCTTGGTATTGCCTTTGTATGGGCTGATTAACATTTTGATGATATTGATTTGGTTGAAAATTATTATTAAATTGTTTTGGAACAAAATTATTATTATTATTATTGTTATTTTTAAAATTAGTTTTTTGAAAATTATTTTTTGAAAAATTGTGTTGGTCATTTGTGTTGCTGTATAATTTTCCGAAATTTTCGTAATCGGTTACGTAAGCCATAGCATCTTCTAGTGATGCTGGTTGTTTTAAATGCATATTATTCTTTAATACACCTGTGCAACCTGCAATAAAGGTGTTTAGGGCTGTTTTATCGCAATGCTTTATTTGACAAAGTTTTTCTTGCGCGTTAAGATTTATATCATTACTTATTCTCTGTACTGCACTGCTACGTAATAATTGTAGTCTCGTGCCAAAATCTATCAAGTTTTCATTTTTATACGGGGTAGTTCTAGTTAATTCTTGCGTTATACAATCTAAATTCCGTCGATCAGAAAAACACTGCTCTAATGCATTCCTTAATGAACGCCAATCACTAAGTTCAACCCGGTTTCCTACCATGGCTTCAGCCTTGCCTATCAATTTTTCTTGTATACACTCAAAAATGTGACCATTAAATTCTGGGTCATTATAATCTCTATAAGTTGCTATTAAATTTTCGCAACGAGAAATAAATTTGTTCAAAGTATTACTATCGCCATCATATGGCTTAATATTTGACACTTTGGACCTAAAAAGATCCCAGTTAATAGCGCGATGTGCTGCTACAGGCAGGTATTGGAGGAACCATATTGTCAAAATTTAAATTTTCACTTTCACTTAAAATAGTAGTAGTATTATTACTTTCTTCAGATTCAATATTAAGATTACTGAATTGATTTAATATTTCATCAATTTAATTCATTAAATTCTTAATAAATTCATTTATTCAAAAATAAATTGAAAAATAATATATATTTAATTACTATCTGTTTCTAGATATAAAACTTTTAGGAAGGCTAAAAGAAACTTGGCACTCACCCCTTTGAATGGAGTTCGTCGAAGCTTCTTTTCTACTGCTAGTGATTCTCTGCAACTTGAAGTCTTGTCGGTGGTTGTTGTTTCTTGAGGGTAGATTCGTATCAGATTTGCACTTAAAACGTTGAAACGTTAAAGTCCGGAAAGAGTTCTGGTAACGACAAAAGCGAATTTTCTGTTCTTTTCGCGACTCGCACACATCCTACTGACTGCGCCAGATAGATTTTCAAACACCGAAAATACTTTTTTAAATTTTTTTTATTATTTATTATATAAAATACAAAGCTTGTTTAATGCCCCAATGCTAAGCTAAGAATGAATCTAAATACAATATTCAAAGTAAAGTTAATAACAATGCAACAAAGAACTGCTATCTTATCTATGCAATTATGCATAAAATATGTGGACGTCGATAAATTGGCCTCATGTAACTCGCGAGAGAAATTTTTTCCGAGCGATTGAAAGAACCAGTCGACAAATTTAATACCAGCGCCGCAAGCCAAAACCGTCTTTGCCGCAGTTAGTACAAAAAACCCGTTTTTATTTTTTGCCGTAGCATCGAGTTTAGATAGGAAATAAAACCGAATTAAATTAACTAGATTTAAACACCGTTTGAGATTACATTTTAACACGTAAATAATTTTGTAAAATTCCGAAATTTAATAATTAAATTACTTGTCGAAAAATATTTTTTTGTTTGGATATTGGCCGTGATTATTTTTTTTTATTATCGTCTTCGAACGGTGAGGACTGCTTCCGATATAAATTGACTTTATAAAGAGAATTATTAAATAAGTAAATTGGGAAAAGATAGTATTAGAGTGTTTTTTTTTTTTTTTAATTTAGGTAGACTTTTAAAAGAATAGATTTGTTAAATTCCTAACCGTGGAAAATAAAGGAATTGAATATTGTTCATTTTTTTATTGGTTTAGTTTGACTTTTCGCGATTTTTTTTTTTTTTTTCAGTAAAGGGGAGGGTATCATTTTTCTGTTTTGAATATAAAATCTACGTTCCTTTATTTTTCCGTCCTGGCTACTCCCAAATAACTCAGTGAGGGCTTAAAGTTCCCTGTGTTAATTTTCGTTCCTAGCTTTCCGCAATTAACTCAGTGAGGGCTTAAAGTTCCCTGTATTAGATTTCCTTCCTGTCTATTCCCAAATAACTCAGTGAGGGGTTAAAGTTCCCTGTGTTATGTTCGTTCCTAGCTATCCGCAATTAATTCAGTGAAGGCTTAAAATTCCCTGTGTTAATTTTCCTTCCTGTCTATTCCCAAATAACTCAGTGAGGGCTTGAAGTTCCCTGTGTTATTTTTCTTCCTAGATATCCCTGTCCGACCTGGGGTTATAATAAAAAATAACAATAAGAGGTAGTGTGGGTTTGATTCAGCGTAGCTTGCTCATTGGCTTCAGGGGTTTTAAAAACGAAACAAACATTTAGAAATATTTCGAGTGGTCCTCACGAGTTGCAGAAGTGCCGCAGTTTAAATTTTTAAAATTCATACTAACCTTGATTTAAATTTTGATTTATTACCGTAAATTTTGGAATTTTTAAAATTAATATTATCCTTGATCAAAATTTTGATTTGCTTTGCTATTTAAACAATTACCGGAAATTTAAATTGTTGAATTCGTATTATCCATGATTTACAATTAGATTTTTTTTGCGATTTGAGAGTAATTGCCGTAAATTTAGAATTCCTACTATCCGAGATTTAAATTTTGACCTTAGTCTCAGATTTCCGAATACATTTTTTTTAAAACGCGACCCCTTCACCGTATACAGTTTAAGCAGTCTGATTGAGAATACCTGCCAACTATATCAGCCGTTCGTTACCGTTTTGTTTTGCTTCATTTTTTTTTTTTGTTCAGGGTTTCATAACCGAGGGTGGGCGTTGAAATATATTATTTTTATTTTTTTTTCAACTGTATATAGTTATATTAATATATGTGTCAACAGTACCGTGACTATTACTGAGTTTACTAATCCCCAATTTACTTCCCCCTTATTTTTCAGCAGTAAGAAATTCTTTGCAACCACAAGTAATTATTAAAGCCCATTACTTGTGGCTACTAATTACCTGAGTCTAAGTAACCTTTGACCCCTGGAATTTTTCATCTCCATCTGTGCTGCCCGAGTACTTTCGACGCTGTTTCGAGAGTTCATGGAGTAAACCATAACCAAAAATCTGGCGCTCGAGAACCGTCCGTAACCAGCGCCATTCGTAAGAAACCGTTTTCTCTGAGGCGAGAAAACCCCTTACACAGGAACCAGATAAAATGTCTTTAACTAATAAACGAACAATTTAAAAGTATTAAGTGAACAATTTCACAGAGACCAAAATTAATATGAAAAGGAAAAATCTTATTTAACATATTTAAAAATAGTAAAGCATAATATCTCATTCCAAACAAAATAATATATAAAATTATATAAAACGAACATGTGATATCCATTATTGATATTGAGGTTATGTACAATTTTTGACATTTTAATTAAGAAATCTTTATATAAAATATATATATTTAACAATATATTAGTTTTAAATCTTACCTTATAAAATCAGACGGAATATACGATAGATAAAAATGATTTAGTACATCGGATGACCCAGATAATTTAAAATCAACCTGATTCGTTGACAGATACAAATTAAAATGAAATACGAATTTTTGACGCAAGGCATAAACGACAAATGACATTTGAGTAGAGATGGTTGTGTCAAAATAACGAAAACAGTTCCAACCGCTACAACCATTGTAATAAACCAATTATTATATGTCGTTTAATTTATAAATCAGAAATAAATACGAACAAAAACTTTGGTGTCACCGAAATGATTAGCACCAAAATAATGGCGGCCAATAGATAATCGGCACAGTATACTACGTCTGCTCGATTTACTTGTGACGCGCCCTCTCTTTATTACCTAGTCTAAGATGTCGCCACACCATCTTCTTCCTTTTTTTACAAATCAGAATTTTTTCAAGTCTTAGCCTTTTACAACATAACCCATTTTACAACCTTTTATGTAACATTTATGAAGCAGCATCAGTAAAATTCAGAAATATTGCAGAAACTTGTGCTTGAAATGTTATATGATTGAAACGTTTAAAATATTTCTGAAACATTTCTGAAATAATGTGTGCTGTGTAGATTCCTACTATTAGTTAATTATAAAACCACTTGCAGTATTCTTTTTATTATCATTTAAAAATATTACTTCTCCTACCCTTAGTTGTGGAGGGATGATAGTTCGACTAAAAATTTGGTAGAGTATAAAAATTCAATATTCAATATTCAATATTTACTTCATTTATTGATAAATTAATAATTTATTACTATACATATTTCTTCTATATAACAATATTCTTTAATTAAATATATCACAATAGACTTTATTCTAAATACTTTTTATTTAATTAAAATAAATTTAACAATCGTTACAATTATCAAAAAGAAAGATGAATAATTTGTAATGGATGTTGCTCCACTAGGAGTAGTTGGTGGGGCTTCTGTTGGTGCAACTGGAAGATAGTTTTCCAGATCTTCACGAATCCTTTTCAACCATTCCAAATTGCCAGTTACCACTTTAATTGCCGCTTCTACGGCAGATTTGTACGATTCGGCAAGGTCTTTCGTGGTAGTGAAATCTTTCAACTAAACAAAAATAGTACAAAATTAATTGATAACTGTAATAAAAGAAATATGTGATAAATAAGGGGACGACACGTAGGGGGGGGGTAGCCGGGACTAATTCCCGGAGCCCGGGCTGAAGTGGGGGCCCGGCAGCGGCATAAGAGGGGCCCGGCAGCTTTTTATTTTTTATTTTTTTAGAAGTTCGCCACGAGAAACACAATAGGGAGATTTCACTAAAGAGAAGTTTTTAGTTTTTGCTTGAAGACTTTTTTTTGAGTTTTCACTAAAGAGGAGAAGTTTGTAGTTTTTGCTTAAAGACTTTTTTTAGAAATGTGATATTGAAAGAGGTTATTTTTTTGTAAAATTGTTGTCGCGGGACCCGACCTGGAAAATTATCCTGGGGCCCGATCTGGCTCTCGGCGGCCCTGGTTAAATAAAACAAAAACTTACTTTCTGTAGTTGATCTTCAGTAATATATTGAGAAGCAATTCCACTTAATAAGGCAGGTGCATCTGCTTTACTACTGAAAAACAAATAATTTATTTAATACCAAACAGCACAAATTAATAAAAAATATTATTAAAATATATTGCAGACTTCTAACCTACAAATTTTTTTCACCTGTTACATTACGTTTGTGGATTAAAGTATTATTTATTATTATAAACGTACTTTCCAAAAGCAATTTTTAGTATAAAAACCGGCCAAGTGCGAGTCAGACTCGCGCATAAAGGGTTCTGCACCATCGTACAAGATCTAATACTATGTAGGAACTTTTTAAATATTTATTAAGATCGAGCAATAAAAGCCAACAAAAAAACACGTTTCTAATAGAGGAGTCCCTCTATTTTTTAATTTATTTTTATTTTTATTATTTGTTGTTATAGCGACAACAAAAATACATATTCTGTGAACATTTTAACTGTCTACCTATTACGGATTATGAGATACTGCCCGCTGGCCGACAGACAGCCGAGGCTTAGTAATAGGGTCCCGTTGGTTACCCTTCAGGTACGGAACCTTAAAATCCAAAGACAGAATTAATAATTAGAAGAAATCTGGAACATGTGAAGTTAATTCTACAGTCAAGAAAAAGTATGTTGATCAAAGAACACATTTAAAATGTGGTAGAACTGAGAAATCGTGCATGGTTAAACACATTTTCTATTACCACAGATAGATAAAGACATTTTTATATTTTGGTCGACCAAACTTTTAGTTATTTAACAGGTACTGGTACGTATATATACCATATGTAAAATTCACCGACTCTTATATCCATTTTGATTAAGGTTGCGGTCAAGGTTGATATGACACTTTGTCATCTGATAACCAGATAACTGTCAAACTACGGTACGTATTTGTACCAGAAAGAATAACATATCTCGAGAAAGGTACTATATTTTTATTTTTTGTGAATTGGATTTTTATTGTTTTTAAAATAAATTAGCATTATTTTGTAAGATCAAAACAAAACTGAATGGTTATCAGAAACTAAAAATGTTCGTTTGTTTTGTTTCACCTTTTATTTACATTTCCATTTTGAAAATCGGATTTTTATCATGAGGGGTACATATGAGTACCTATCACAAAAAATGTTGGTGGTGCAAATATGTACATTGAAAAAAAAAAAGAGTTCCGACAGTACTAGACACGTGAATATTTATATTTTCGTTTGGAGAACGTACAATTTAGTTTAAAAGTTAAAATGTCCAAGCGTTTTTATAATTTTTTAAAATAAGGCCAAAAATAATTTTATTCCATAAGTGGTTTATACATTGTGTGATGTTTGTTTATTTTCAAACAATAGTTTATTTATTAGTAATTTATTTAAACACTTATTTATTTTATAACACAACTATTTTAATTTATATATACTTCGAATGTCTTTAAACTGATCACTATTTATATTCACCACTGTCTATCTACTAATTACTATTTATCCTCACTGTCCATATACTAACTGATTTTGATGGCTCTCCTCCACCAATTTATATACAAATTGGTGGTCTAGAATGCTCCCCCACCTAAATTGCCAGTATGTACCAGAAACGTTATCACGTTCTAGAAATAGTATCTCGTTGACCCTGGAATGTTCGCGAAAGTGTCTCCACCATAGTCGTCCCATAGATTTGGACTTAAGGGGTTTAATTATGTATAATAAGCGGACAAGTTGAGCCTCAAAGGCCAAACAATACAGAGAGGGACTTGGAGTATTAGAGCATGACTGAATAATGAAATGGCTCACATTACAATTGTAAAAAACTGAAAAGCTATAAAAAACTAATTAAAACTTTTCGTTTTGTTTGTGCTGTATTTTCTTTTTTTTTTATTTTTCGGAAAGTGGAGTACTTTATTATTATTTTTATCAATATAATAATTCGAATCTATATCTTTGCTTACCACAAAAAATCCTGGTGATACAAATATGTACCACCTACTTTCATAAAAACTACGTATAATAAAGTAAACAAAAAGGATTTCGGCTTCTTTTTATCAGTTATTTTTGATGAAATGCTAGCAAAACCAAAACAAAGAGCTATGAGAAACTAATTAAAATGTTCGTTTTCTTTGTGCCATGTTTTATTTACTTTTTCTTTTTGAAAATTGGAAGCTTTTAATGTTTATAATTTTAATAATTTCTAAATATTTTAGCCTTTTACCTGAGTGGTACGTGTGGATACCACAATAAAAAATATTGGCACAAATATGTACCATCAATTAAAAAAAGGAAACGAATTAAAAATATTCGTTAGATTTGTGCCATATTTTATTTATTTTTCCTTTCTTGAATTTGGATTTTATATTAATGTTTTTATGAATATAATATCGTGTGAATATTTTATCCTTTTTCTTAAGTGGAACGGCAAAAAAATGTTGGTGGTACAAGTATGTATCGTAGGGTCACAAGTATGTACCAGATGGTCCGATTACAGTTAGAAGAATTTCGAATGCATATTACTTATAACTATCAATAAATAAAATATAAGTAAGTTGTTAGGTATAAAATAATATTGTACCACGAATTAAAAAAACAGCCATCAAAAACTAATTTAAAATTTTCTCATTTGGTTTGGCCTTATTTTATTTCTTTTTTTTTTCTTTTTTGGGAATTGGATTTTTTGATTAATATTTTCATGAATATAATTTGTGTAATTAGAAAATAAGTAAAAATGTTTATTTGATTTGTACCATATTTTAGTTACCTTTTACTTTTTGAAATTCAGATTTTTTTTAATGTTTTTTGATTATAATAATTTATGAATATATAACCTTTTCCCACAGTAGTACATATGCGTGACACATGTTGATGACACAAATATTTAGAAATATCTTAATCCGTCCCATCCCCAAGAGTTCGTTGTGTGGTACATATCCGTGTCAAAAAAGTGCTAGTGATACAAATATGTACCATCAATTTTTATAAAAACTACGTATTACCAAGTGAACAGAAGTAAACAAAAATCTACATTAGCATCATTTTGTCAGTTATTTTTGATGATAAGAAATTAATTAAAAATGCTCATTTGATTTGTTTTATTTACTTTTACTTTTTGAAAGCTGATTTTTTTTTATTAGTGTTTTTATGAATATAGTAACTTGTGAATATATTATCTTTTTCCCCGACTGGTACAAATGAGTACCTACCGCAAAAAAATCTTGGTGATACAAATATATACCACCAGTTAAAAATATAATTAATCAAAAACATATAAAAATGTGCGATTTGTGCTACGTTTAATATGTATTACTGTTTTCATAATTATAATAATTTGTGAATATTTTAGCATTACATATGCGTATCGCTAAAAATGCTGATAGTACAAATATATACCACACTATTTAAAAAACATAATACCAAGTCAGAAAATGTTGATTAAAAGTCTACAGATTCTTGTTTATTAAAGGGTTAAACAAATGAAAAGTTACTTACTATTTCATGACTGTTTCATAATTTTGTAGCCAGTAGTCAAGAGCTACTTTAGCACCCTGAGCACTGTTGCTGTACACAGACTTCCAAACTGTTGCCAAATCTTGAATACGAATACCAGATCCCTCGGTTACAGATAATTCCAAGTATCTACAAAATAAAACAAAATAATTAAATCTTTATTTTCGACGTCTGGTTATGCTCTAATTCTTTAAGTCTCTCTCTGACTTATTTGGGTCTGTAAGGCCTTCATTTTTCCCGTTAGCAGAATATTCGATGAAATAAGGCAACCTCCGAAACCCCTTTATGAGACGACTATGATCACCTATTCGAATTCAATCATTATTGTGGAATGTACTAGACCCTTCAACGTAACATATCGAAATTACAATTTTTTGCATAAAAGTTAGTTTAATCCAGTCTAGAATACGGTGGATGTATTTAAAATTTTCGAGAACCGCCATATTTATATAAAATTAGACTATTTTCCATTTGAGAGTCAGTTCAAGTTGAGAGATCACTCCATTCACATATAAATTAGTGTATAAGTAAATGATACATAAATTATTGCAGTATTAAGTATAAACAAATTAACTCGTTTAAATAAATAAACTTTACAATACTTTTACGTCTTACTTTTTCAATAAATCGGCCCTGTCGGTACAACCAAGTGCTCCTAGTATCGTTGCTTGTTCAGTAGACAATTTTGTGCTTTGATATTTGTTCCACATGAAATGCCAATCATTTTCTTGGTCGTTGCTGTTCCACAGCCCATGGCAATAAACGACTTTCTTCAAATTTCTATGAATCCTAAAAATCAGAAAAGAGCAAATTTGAATTTATTTATGAGATTGAAGAGATCTGAATCGGTGAAGGAAAAACTATGACAAAGATGAAGACACTTGCGAGCTAGATAGTGTTATATGTTTAAGTCCCAATTTTTGCTTTGGGATGAATTATATGTTAAAAGTTTTGACAATACGATGTGTGAATAGGTAAAAGGATATAAGAAACAAATTTTAAGGCTTATGTAAATTAAAAAAAAAAAAGACTTACTTTCCAGTTGTTTTGTACGTTTCGAATAACGTAGTAACATTTTTGATACAATCTTCAGCTCCATATTTGCATGCAGCATTGAAAATCAAATCTCTTTGAAGTGACAACTTTGAATCATCTTTTTCGAAAGAAAGTGTGCTATATACTCCTCCTATTAATTCCACTACCTTTAATTTTAGAGAAACACCTAAAATAACGCAAAATAAATTAAGTTGCACGATCAATAATATATAAGGTAAACGAAAAAACAAGAGACAAAAGGGCATGAGCTTATATCTCCATTTTTGCTGGTTCGACTTGCCCATTACATCAAACAAATATTTTGCTATGACTAGACAGAATTTGCACCTATCAATTTGCACAATGATTTGAGTGAGACCGAAGTGCTGTGGGAACACCCCAGTTGGCTCACATTACAATTTACAGAGAAGAACTTACCCAAAGTCGTATGATCACCAACTCTTGTCAACAGGAAGTTCAAAGAATGTAAGGCAGATACCCAAGGAAAATATTCAGTTTCGTTGCCTAAATAATTAAGGTGTTGAAACGCTTGAGAGTACTTCATTTGGTTATCGGCTCTGGCAAAATTAAACAAATCGTCAATTATTTGAGCTCTGTTTAGAACGTCGATTTTGGTATGGTCGTGCATTAGTTGATCAGCGATTCTTTTCCAAAGACTGTTAGCATATTGGACTCTATAAAATGCTGAAAACATAATATTGTTGAATTTAAGAATATACCTCATTAATAAATTAAGTATTCAGTTATATTGATAACTAAATGTATTTATTTAAAAGGCACAATTATAATTTTTTAATCCTTAAAATCAAATTTTCAAACAATAATATTATTACTACTAGTAACAATACTAATATAACACTTTTATTAATACTAAAAATAATTATTTATTGCCATAAAAGTATTTTGAGAACAAGTGTCTAAAATGTTTTCTAGATATAACGTAAAATTTGTTCATAAACCAAACAATTCAAGAAAAACATTCTCAAATTTTAAACCCAAAATCAATAACTACAAAGATTACGCTACTTTCCAACAAACATTGAAGTTGTTGGCCCTTTAACGAATGTGATGGCAAAGTAACTTGTAAAATCGTTATGCCTCTATTGAAATTTCTATTTAACGACCCATTAACTTTAATTTTTCGATGGGTCGTTGATGGATTTTCAACTGTTTTCCACATGACACTGTAAAATCGTTATGGCTCGTTTGAAATTTGTAATTATTTGCCTTTTAAGAGTCATCTTCCAACCGATCCCTTACTTAAAGTTTATCTATTAGTTTTGTTGTTAATAGATTTCAGTGCGAAGGGTGCACATTACCGTTAGAAAAATGTTATTTGCAGAGGGTCGGGCCGTGCGCGATTAATAACTTATTTTTTGATTTTTTTGAAGAAAGAACATTTTAGGACAAAGTTAAAGATTTGCAGCAGAGGCCTATAATTTAGATTTTCCAAATTATTTCTTATAACGACATGATTGGCGCCTTAAAATACGTAATATTGTCACCTTTTTCTAGCTTGAATAATAGCAAAGTTTAAAAAAATTATTCATTTCGTTCTTATACATCCCTAGAAATACGTTTTTTTTTTCATCACCTGCAAAAGCAGTTTTAAGTAATTTTGAAAAATCAAGTTGTAATTGCGCACGAGCTTAACCGCTGTTTTTGGCTTAAAAATTCAGGAGGAGGATGGCCCTTAACTTTAATTAAATTATGGTCCGTTGATGGATTTTTAACTGTTTCCAACATGCAATTGTAAAATAATTATGGTCACTCTCATAATATAAGACGTAACACGTTTTTCCTTTAAGAGGGGGCTAAAATTGAGGATTGTGAGGACTTGGGTATTAAAACTAATAATGTTGCATTCCCCAAAAAAATTACTTTTTTATGTGTCACGAGTCATATCAGCCCTTCTGATGACCTTGCAGGAATTTCAGCGCAAACTGCCATCCTTGCAGTTTGCTTAGCCGGAGGTCCCTGGGCGAAGTGCATGGAACCCGGCGTCATTCATTATTAACCATTTCTATAGTTAAGTCATATATTGCACATAAAATATTTTTGTAAATTAAATAATTAATAAAATTTGTTTTTAAAAACGGATTTCGGCTTCTTAAGTAGTTAATTGGCGCAGTCAGTAGGATATCCGGGAGTTTACGTATCGAACGTGAATTTTTCGTTAAACGATTAACTGGATATCGAACTTAACAACGGGTGTGTCGTTCGTAAAGGTATTGTGTTGGCGGCTTCTTCAACTTCAGAAAACCGACTGTCCATCGAGGAACCAGCTCAGACCAATCAACGAGGCACCGAATTTTGGAACAAAAATTGTCAAAATTTTCTTCAGAAAACTCTAGTGAAGACTTCATCGCTTCACTGGGTGAGATGCTAAAAGTCCTTTTCGTTCTGTAAGTGTATTTTATTTATGACTGACTTAGTTGAGGAACTAATTAAATCAATTGAAAGCTTAAGTATAGAATTGCCTATTGCTGACCCTGAAAATTCAGAAAATACAGTAGAAAATTTAGATAATAGTAACAATATTAATCAATTAGAAAATTTAAATCAACAAAGTAGTAATTTAAGTAATAGTATGGCCGCAAACTTTAAACCTGAATATTTAAACTGTGTCCCGTCATTTGATGGCAACCCAAATGATTTAAATAGATTTTTAGGCGTCTGTGAAAGCCTTGTTAATACTTTTTATGATAGAGATAATCCACTTAGTTTTCATAATGTGTATCTGCTTCAATCAATTGTAAGTAAATTAACGGGAAATGCTAGAACTGTGGCAAATATTCAAAATGCGCAGACTTGGGATGATCTAAAAGGTGTTTTAAGACGAAATTTTGCTGATCAACGTGACGAAACGTGCTTAAATAGAGACCTAGTTGTTATGAGACAATTTCCTAACGAAAAAGTTCAAGATTTCTACGACAGAATTTTAAACATTTTAAATTTGCTCTGTAGCTATGTAGACATTCACGGTGAGACTCAGGCTTCGAAAACCTTGAAGAAAAACTTATATAATGATTTAGCCTTAAAAACTTTTCTGTGTGGACTCAAAGAGCCATTAGGCACCACAATACGTTGCATGAGACCAGGAACCTTAACAGAGGCCCTACAATTTGTTGTTGAAGAAGAAAATACCCAGTATTTTCAAAATGTAACTACTAAAAATTTCCAAAGGTCAAACAATTCACAAAATAGACCTGGTCAACAAAATTTAAACAGAAATTTTAATTCTAATAACAATTTTAATAGAAATTTTAATAATAATAACTTTAGCAATTTCGTTCCAAATCAAAATTTTAACAATTCTAACAATCAGTTCCCTACTGGACCGGTACCAGTCCAGCCAAGGCAAAATATGCCACCACAAAAGTTTTTCAACAATGCACAAGTTTTTCGACAGCCTTCCATGGGAAATGTCAATGTATTCAAACCAAATCCTAATAGATCATTCCCAAAACCAATGCCTATGAGTACTAACACGCGCTTCACAGGTAGACCCAATTCTCAACAAAATAATAATTTTGGAAACAATAAGTTTTCTCAAGCTGGACCATCAGGTTACAGGCCACAGCAAAATTATAGCGCTCAGGAACTATTCAATACCGAAACTAATCAGGTTGATCCGTGCGATAATAATATAGAAAGTGAAAGTTTGATAGAAAATCAATATTTTTTCGATGAACAAAATTTAAATTTTCATGTGCCCGCCAGACAAGATCAAATAACGTAAGCCCCTTGACTATTTCTCTCAACACAGTAGAGTGTAGTGAACTACCTTATATCATATTCCCGGAATATAATATTAAACTGCTGGTCGACTCCGGTTCTACGAAATCTTTTCTCGATCCAACTATCGCTCTAAATTTATTTCCAAATTTAATAAGAAATGACCCTTTTATAGTTTCCACTGTTTTTCAAAAATCCACACATAAGCATAGTGTACAAATACCTGCTTCCAAAATTTTCAAGTTAAAAGAACCAAATCATTTAAAATTTTATTTGTTTAAATTTCACAACATTTTTAATGGGCTGATTGGAATCGATAATCTGAAAATTTTAAAAGCTAATCTAGATTTTGAAAAAGGATTTTTGGTTACACCTACTACTAAAATAAAATTAAATTTTCAAGAAATAAAAAATATTAATAATACAAATATAATTAACATTGAACCTCGTGTCCAGAAGGTCATTGAAATCAAAACTTCTGTACAAAGCGGCGAGATCATAATTCCTTATCAAAAGATACATAATTGTGAGATTCCCGAGAGTTTAACTATTGCGCGAAATGGACGTGCTCTTGCAACCATATTAAATAACACTACCAGGGCCATATCTTTAGATTTCTCGGAACCTATATTAGTTGAAAAGTTTGATAAAAACTCTTTACAAGATGTTAACATTAATAATTTTGATGAGTCTTCTAAACAAACATTAGATTTATCTCAGATTCGCACCGATCATTTAAATAATGAAGAGAAAACATTTATTTTAGATTTATGTAAGGAATTTTCAGATATTTTTCATATCGATAACATACCATTAAGTTTTACTAGTAAAGTTAAGCATAGTATAAAAACTACAGACGAGGTACCCGTTTATTCCAAAACTTATCGTTATCCCTTTATTCACCGTAAAGAGGTGAATGACCAAATTGGTGAAATGTTAAACCAAAATATTATAAGACCTAGTAATTCGGCTTGGTCTAGTCCTATATGGGTAGTACCTAAGGCACCTAATAAACAAACTGGTGAAATAAAGTTCAGGGTAGTTATAGATTATCGGAAAATAAATGCAAAAACAATCGGAGATAAGTATCCCCTGCCAAATATCATTGATTTATTAGATAAACTTGGGAAATGTCAATACTTTACTACTTTGGACCTTGCTAGTGGATTTCATCAAATCGAAATGTGTGAAAACGATATTGAAAAAACTGCTTTTAACACCGAAAATGGACATTACGAGTTCTTACGAATGCCATTTGGGCTTAAAAATGCCCCCGCGACATTCCAAAGAGTGATGGATAACATCCTCAGAGGAATTCAAAATGAAAAATGTTTGGTGTACTTAGATGACATCATTATCTTTTCAACATCCCTCCAAGAACACCTTGAGAGGTTAAGAGCGGTATTTCAAAGGCTAAGAGATGCCAATTTTAAAATCCAACTAAGCAAGTCAGAGTTCCTTAGAAAGGAAGTGGCCTACCTTGGCCATGTAGTCACTCCAGAAGGAGTTCGCCCAAATCCTGACAAAATAAAAGCAATTAAACATTTTCCTTTACCTACTACCACTAAACAAATTAAAGGGTTCCTCGGTCTGTTAGGGTATTACCGAAGATTTATAAATAATTTTGCAAAGATAACAAAACCTTTTACTAAGTGTCTGAAAAAGGGTGCTAAAATTGAGCACAATACAGAATTTTTAGAATGTTTCGAATTTTGTAAAAATATACTAACAAATGAACCAATATTACAGTATCCAGATTTCGAACAACCGTTTAATTTAACAACTGATGCCAGTAACGTGGCTTTGGGAGCGGTCTTGTCGCAAGGTCCCATCGGTAAAGATTTACCAGTAGCGTACGCTTCTCGCACGCTTAACGACTCCGAAAGAAATTATAGTACAATCGAGAAAGAACTTCTATGTATAGTTTGGGCTACGAAATATTTCAGGCCGTACCTGTACGGGCGAAAATTCTTTATTGTAACGGACCATAAGCCTCTTCAATATTTGTTTTCATTAAAGGACCCCAGCTCAAAATTATTGCGCTGGCGAATAAAATTAGAAGAATTTGACTACACTATAATTTACAAAAAAGGTTCATTAAACACAAATGCTGACGCATTGAGCAGAATAGAAATTCATACTAAAGAAAATGATAAAATTTGGGATGAAATAGATGACATAATACAAAACGTTGACGAACAATCACGGGACTTAAAAACCCCAGACATTAACGAAGTTTTACAACTAAATCAAAATTTACCAAACAATCCTAGGCCCCCTAGTCCTGACCTGGACACTATATCAATCTTTGTTAACCCCGACCCCGAATTAGAAGAACAAAATGTAAATGACGATATTGACGATGGTCAAACAGTTCACTCAAATGCAGAAGATCCTATAGTAGGAATACCTATATGTGATTCTCCTGTGAATCACGGCCAAAATCAAGTAATCATACAGTCTGTCTTTCATTCACCAGCCAAACCGATAATTAAAATTTTATTTGAACGTAAACAAAGAATTACTGTCCAAATTTCCGACAGTAATTTTGAACAAGACATAATAAATTTTATAAAAGACTACATTGCCCCTAACGTACAATATTATTTATATTTTGCAAAGTCTCAAATGTTTGAACCATTTTGTGAAGTAATTAGGAAAAATTTTAAATGGCCCTCACTTAAACTTCGGAAATGTAATTCCAAATTAATCGATATTACCACTAAAGCAGAAATCCCAGAAACAATTAAAGCTTTCCATGAAGGAAAAACTAACCACCGCGGAATAAGCGAAACTTATAATAAAATTAAAAATATTTATTATTGGCCGAATTTAAAGGAATCAATACAAACATATATTAATGATTGTGAAATATGCCAGCGTTGCAAATACGAAAGGAACCCTGTTAAAATCCAAATGAATATTACCCCCACAGCAGTGAAACCTTTCGAAATAATTCATATTGATACCTATACCGCCGAAACAGAAAAATTTTTGACAATTATCGATACTTTTTCCAAATACGCCCAAGCCTATCATTTAGTAGCATTAGAGTCAACAGAAATTGCTAATAACCTAATTACTTTCTTTTCCCATCATGGAATACCAAATCAAATAATAACTGATAATGGCACCGAATTTAAAAATACTGTAATCACAGAATTATTAGATCTCCACAAAGTAAAAGTACATTTTTGTTCTCCGTACCATCCACAGTCAAACTCCCCAGTTGAAAAGGTGCACTCGACCTTTAATGAACACATAAGATTACTAAACACTCGTGGTTTTAGCAAAACCCCAATCCGAATGAAAATGAAATATGCCCTTTTAGCTTATAATCATACCATACATTCGTCCACAAAATTAAAACCAATAGATGTTATTAATGGTCACTTAAAAACTGAAAATCCTTTCGGCTTAAACATGGACATGATATTAACTAGTAATTTTATAGAAGAACACAAAGAAATGACACGCGAAATGTATGCTAAAATAAATGAAAACCTAATAAAACAAAAAGAAAAGGTTATCGGAAAAATTAATACAAATCGCGATTCCCCAGAATTGTTCAAAGTAGGCGACGAAACTTATATAAAATCTCATGAAAGGAAAAAGACCGCAAATAAATTTGAAAAACCCACTGAAATAACAGCGATTAGTAAAAGTGGTAAAATCGTGGCTACATCCCTCCAGAATAAAGTCCATATGGACAATCTCAAAAGACCACGTCAAAGAACGTACTCATTTTAATTAATTTTTCAGGTTTCCCATTGTACTTGGGCTTCGGGAACAAATCTCCTTCAGAAATTTGGACAACAACTTAGCATTACTCCCCCTTAAGTTAGGCTCAGCAAAAATTGAAGAATATTCTTACAAAATTGTGCATTTTTATGATTTAAATCCAATAATAAACGAAATCGAAAAATTAAATTCTAAAACTTCTCAAATTCTATACGCGGTAAATAAAAATCAAAATTATTCATGGGATATCTCTAATTACATAAAAATATTAGAATTTACTATAGATAAAGTGGATACAAAACTATTTAACATTATTCCAAAACCACAACGTTCCAAAAGAGGTCTAATTAATGGGCTAGGTTCAGTTTTTAAATGTATTACAGGCAACTTAGATGCCTCAGATGGCGAGAGATATGAAAATTTAATAGATAATCTGCAGAAAAATCAAGAACAATTAGCGTCCAACTTAAACTCACAAATTTCACTTTCTATCAATACAATAAAAACTTTTAATGCTACTATTCAGAAAATTAGTCATAATGAAAAGTTATTAGATTCAAAAATAGAGCAAATCAAATTAATAGTTAATTCAGTAATTTACAGAGAAAATTCACTATTTATTAAGGATGTGATAAATCAAATTTTGAACATGTACGAAATAATTCTTTCAATATTACAGGATATAGAAAACTCTTTAACTTTTTCAAGATTAAAAATAATGCATCCTAGTATAATGAAAACAACAGATCTTTTTTTAGCTCTAAAATCAATAGAAAATAAAATTCCAAAATCACAACTTCCTTTTGAAATTAGTTTAGAAACTACACAATTGTACGAATCCATAATAAAAATTGAATGCTACATTTATAAAAATAAAATAACCTATATTCTTAATATCCCTATAACTTACCCAGATAACTTCAATATTTATCATTTATATTCACTACCCGTCCCTCATAAGGGTCAGTTCAAGGTAATCATTCCCAGAAATAAATTCATGTTAAAAAGTCAGTTACACTTTACTTTTCGAAACGACAATTGCATCAAAATTCCCCTCAAAAATTACATTTGCGACAAACAAGAAATAGAAGAAATTAGCAGCCTTACGCCCTGTGAGCTTCTTGTTTTGGACATGAAAAACACCTCACGATGCAAGCAAATTCATTTTCCTCTATCAAACTCAAAATTTAATCAATTGGGAAACACCAATAACTGGATAGGTGTATTTCCAAACGAGGAAGTCATAAAGGTTACCTGCAACGAACAACAAGAAGTCAAAAAGTTAAAAGGAACGTTTTTAATCGAAATTCCAATAGGATGCCAAATTCAATCACCACTAGAGACGCTTGCCAATGAAAAGTCAATGGCCAATAGCCAACCAATACTTCTTCCTGACATTCAAATCACGAACGACACACTGACATCCCTAAAATCAGGAGCGCCCTTAGAAGATATCAAGTTAGATCAGCTGTCAGATATCCTACACCAAGCTACAGAAAACCATCCCTTGTTTTGGACAACTGGTATATCCCATATACCCAGCGTGTGGACCATAGTCATCTACATTATGATAACGGGAGCAATCGCAGCCTTTGCCTACAAGAAGTTTTACCCCTGGAAGAAGACATCAACATCCCAAGGTCCAGTGGTGCCATCACCATCCATTCAACTCCCTCATCTACCCTCGTGAGTTGAAACTTCGGTGGGAGGAGTCATATCAGCCCTTCTGATGACCTTGCAGGAATTTCAGCGCAAACTGCCATCCTTGCAGTTTGCTTAGCCGGAGGTCCCTGGGCGAAGTGCATGGAACCCGGCGTCATTCATTATTAACCATTTCTATAGTTAAGTCATATATTGCACATAAAATATTTTTGTAAATTAAATAATTAATAAAATTTGTTTTTAAAAACGGATTTCGGCTTCTTAAGTAGTTAATTCACGTGATATAGATTGACATTAAAAGGCCTTTGAAGGGAAGGTGTGGGAAACTACTGGCAAAGTGCATGCCTTTCACTACTTATTATTAGTAAAGTTACATGCCATATGCAAGCCCAATAAAGGGAACTTAACATTAATATTATGGAAAACTGCTGGCCATTTGGTGGCCTTTCACTACTTATTGCTAGTAAACATTTTACTGCCTTAACAAGACACGCTTTGGAAAATTTGTACTTTTTCGAATTTGAAAATGTAAGAATTCTCGAAAATGAAACTAAATATAATAAAAGAACAGTCCTTGAGAAGATACATATTAAGACGAATAATAAATATATCTGTAACTAATAAAGTAGACATAAAAGATTTGTCGAACGTTTATTTTAATTTAAGAAACTAATTCTAAGCTATTTAATTTTTTACTGTAACGTCACTGGTAATTTTTAATTCTGTTTCCCTAATAATTTTGTCAAGACCAGTAAGGAAATGTCTCAATGCCTATAACGATCCTTCCAATCCTATCTTCTTAAGGAAGTTTAGGTTTTGGAGTGGTTTTAAGTTTCAAGTGGTTTCAATCTGCCTCTTCTATTTGATATGCTCCCATAGTGCCCTTGGATTCTGGAGGGCTACACATTCAGTCAGAATGTGAATGGAGGTTTCGTCCTCCACCTCACATAATCTACAGTCACAATCTTCTAAAACTCTCAGTTTTTTTGTAAAAAATGTAAATTGTTTGTTACCTGATGGTTTTTTAAAATATTTGTAATTGCATCAGGTGATGGAAAAATTGGCTTTAACATATATATTTTTTTAAACTTTTAGTAACCGATATAACCAAAGAACTTTTGTTTATTTTTGTAAAATTCTGCTACGCTTAGTAAATTATCCTCTTTACAAGAATATTTATTTATTAAGTTACTTACCACCTTGTTTATTATTGACAATTACCCAGTCTGAATTATTTTTAAAAACGTTTTTAATGGGAATTGAGGAAGTACTCAGCCAAGCCTTAGGTGCGGTATCAAATTTTTTTTCGTCTGATGGAACTGTATAACTAATAGGAATCATCCATATTGATTTCGATGATGGGTTGATTTTATCATATAAGAAACGGTTCTAAAAGTAAAATATGTATAAACTCGAAACAACATAAAATTTTAAATAATTCAACTAACTTGTTTCAATATAATGCCATTTCCTCTTTGAGTAACTGTTACAACAGGATAACCTGGCACATTAAGCCAGTTTTGCATCACTTTAGTTAAGGAAGTGTCCTCAGGTAAATTTGCCTTTGTTGCTTGTTCTTCCATAGCACTTAATAGATCCGAAGGTACGGCGTTAGAGAATTGTCTAAATCAAACAAGATTTTTATTTGGACATAAACATATCAGTAGCGGATAAAGCGGCAGTCGCTATAATATATCGGTAATACAGTGTTTTTCTTTAGGGACGCAATTTTTAATGGTTATTAAAACACAGAATACCGACTGTAATATAGAAATGTTTATTGAAAATTTGAGATACTCAAAATTTTGCATCACATTTTCACATAATTGCGGTTCTATATCACCAATAATGGTTTATAAAACAGGAATCGTTTGTGGATTGTTTCTGTAGACCTGGTTTTATATATAGGTAGTCTCAAACGAAGAAGTCCGACGGTTGGAAATCACATGATCTTGGTGGCCAATTAACTTCACCATTTCTGCAGATTTCACGCCCAGAATTATTTTCTCTCAGTTAATCCATTTTCATATTTAAATTAAATTAATTAAATAAGTTAAAAATTCAAAACTGTAGTAAATTACAATACTATTTTAAATGTCAAGTAGAAGAATTACAATAAATTGCGTCTCTAATGAAAAACCCTGTATATTTGAACCCATTTTAAATAAAAGTATTTGAGATGTCATCAATATTCGGTTTTCACTAATCACCTTTAAATTTTTTTTGCACATATCATATTTCCATTGCAACTTTTAGAACGAAAATGAGTATGATTTTGTCCTTTGTTATTTAAAATGGAAAACCATGGATATTTTTAAATATTCCGAAAGTCTCTTCTTTTCTCATAAAAAAAAAACGGATTTCAAGAAATAAAAATGGGCTTTATAAGTGTGTTATATTTTCACTAGAACCCTTTTTGTTGATTCTTCAATTATTTTTTTTTAGTATTTCATTCATCATAAGATATTTTATTCTTAAAGTGTACGGCCGCCTTTAGCAATCAATCTGATAAATAGAACAAAAAACAAGCATTTTTTGTAAAAATAATTTCGGATTCACTGATTTATTTAATTTATTATTGGCAACTAATTTTTTATGGCAGAAATATAAATAATATTATGCATAAATAACTATTTTGTCACCTTTTCTAGAAGTGCACTTTAGACGTAAAAAGCGACCACACACACTGATCAGCACTTTAAATAGTCAATGGACTAATTATTTTTGTATATTTTTATTCGTTTTCCATTAATTTCAAATAAATAGTTACTACTTTAAAAAAATGTAGCAAATATTAATTTTCAACCGCTATATAATTTCTATACAAAATTCAAAAATCTATTACATTTTCAGAATATTGAGCTTCCTAAACAACAATAAATATACAGAGAAGTAAATATGAAATAAAAAGTTGTGCCTTTAATTCTTTAATTTTATCAATGTTTTTAAAATGCAATGAGGTTTATTTTGTATACTGCACCAAAGGTACTGATTTCACTAAATGTATGGAGATGCTAGTCAACTGTGGAACCAGATATATTATTCTATATATTCTTAAAATGGAACTCGTAGCTGAATTTGATAGGATTAAAAAGGTAAAGGGCCAAAATATTTTTACATGGGCAGACTTAAGGGGTAAAGATTTTAAATTTATTTATACAGGTGAGCTTAAGGGGAAAAAGGACCAAATATATTTGCATAGACAGGCGTAACAACTAAATGTTTTTGTCAGTGACAACCAATGCAAAAAAACCATTTAAAACGAAAACAAGGCATTTAATCGATATTGATCAAAAGTACCATTTTTTTTTAATAAAGTTTAAGCTGTCCTAAAATATTATTGTGCCTTTATCATACAGGGTGTAAAAAATATTAGCTTCATTGTGTTAAATCTAGTCCGTCCCTGCCAAACTAAATAAACCAAATGTATTTAAAATGTTCATTTTACGGAAACTTATCTGGTATTCATCGCATTTAAAAATTATTAAACTTTAGAACTTTAAAAAGATCTGAAAAGGGCGTCGTAGAAAAAAATGTATTTTTGTGTGTTATATCTGAAACTGGGAGATTGCCCACATATACAGGCGTAAGTGGTAAAGGAACCAAATATTTTGTTCAGTGAAAACCAGACATTGATATCTCAAATACTTTTTGAGATACACGCATTTAAAATAAGTTCAAATATACTTGGCCATAAAACTAATGTATTGATTTTACAGCACGTCAAAAAACCTCCACCAGAGACAAAGTGGTGATCAACCAAGAAGCTCGCGGCCGAATTGGAAGTAAGCAGAATGTGAAGATTCACTTGAACATAATGTATGTAATAAGAAGATTGGTATTTTAGAGTGTGATAAAAACAGAGATATTTTGAGTGTAATATTTTGATATGCAATATCGACGGTGATATTTTGATGTGTGATAACGACAGTGATATTTCAATGCGCAATAGCTACGGTAATTATTTTAAGTATTGTTATTGATATTTTGACATGCGATAACAGCGGTGATAAGGAGATGGTTGGCTCAGTAATTAGAGAGTGGACTTTCGGATCCAAGGGTACCGGCCCCGAATCCTGCTAGTGAGGAGATTTTTCTAATTCATAGGTTGGATTCTCCACTCGACCATTCTCTGTTGGGTTCTAATTAACAATGCTGCTCAGAAAGTTGCGCTGGGAAACAGTAACAAAGTTGTAGGCACGAGGCTAACATTTTTAGTAGTTAATGCTGAAGACACAAAGTAAAAATCAACGAAGATTATTTTGAATGTGATAACGGCGGTGATATTTTGATAACCTAAAACGACTGTGATGTTTTGATATGCGATAACAACGCTGATAATTTTGAGTGTGATAACGATGGTGATGTTTTAATGTGATAAAGACAGTGACATTTTGATATGCAAAAACAACACTGATAATTTTGATGAACGATTACGACTATGATTATTTTTATTGTGATAACACTGGTAATATTTTGATCTTTGATAAGGACGGTGACAATTTTGAATGTGGTAACGACGGTGATGCATTGATATAAGATATTTAATTTGCTAATTTAATTATGAATTCCTATAAGCAATACCTAATAGCTGAAAATGTTTACAAACAAAAAGCAATATGTTAAATACCTAATCGAGGCAGACGAACATTACCCCATTTTCCAAAACCTTTTCCTTACTCACTTATTTTGGAGATATTTAGTAACACCTTTTTTAAAATTATCACTACCTATAATGTTTTCCATCATTCTTATAATACTAGCTCCTGTAAAATAAAAAGAGAATTATTTGTTTTCATTATTTTTACATTTAGAAACTTTTAATGAAATAGGTACCTACTTCGGCCCAAAAGATAAATATTTATGATTAAGTAGAAATTAAGAACACACAAAATTTATAAATATTTATGAAGATCCTGGGTTAACAAACTTTATATTTTTTTCATTTCTGCTTAATCTACTTCGGACTACTTTGAGATATGGATAATATTTGGAATTTAAATATTTATGATTCAAAATAAAATTAAGAACATTTTTGTCGCTATTATTTTTATAAATGTTATAAATAAACAGAGCAGCAATACCAACATGATTTTTTTTTGTTAAAGTAGGCACATTAAGAAAATTATTAATAAAACACTTCTTTTAAAGGACACATTAAAGTGAAAATGGGTTTGTTAATAAACTTAGTCTCTAACAGGGCCGTTGCAACCATACCTGCAGGTCGTGCGGCGCACGGCTGCGCCGTCAAGCAGATTTTTTATTTTTAATGTCTGAAAAACTAGTTAGAAGGATTATACCTATTTGAGCCATGTATGATAGAATTAATATTAACCACAAGTAAGTAATAATATATAAATAAATAATTTTTAAAATGTATTAATATTATCTATCGAGTCAAACGTGACTTCTTTAAGTTGCTTGGCGTCGCGTATTTTATTATGTTACTAAGCTCCGAGCGCACTCCTGGTTCCTATTTTTCTTAAGTTTATTTCTATCGTCTGGCCTCTAGCAATAGCACTGTAGTTTTTAATAAGAATTCATTTTTATTAGTGCAATGGCTTTTGTCTTGAGTAGAAGAGCGAATCGTATCAGTTAAAAAAAAGTTATCTATTTGAAATGTAGTTCTTTTTTTTTTTTGAAGCTGAAAGTGTTAGTTCCATTAAGTAGTCTGAGAAAAAAGTACTTATTTTTTCGTGTTAGGCATACGACTAGTATATAAGTTAATAAAATGACAACAGGGCAACAGCCAGTCGTCCACTAGAATTAGAAGATATGGTGGTGGGATATTAGCCGAACCGAATGTCAGTCACAAAGCCAAAGAGCATAGCAATAGCAGGGATATCGTAGTTGCCACGTGTTGACAGTAAAAGCACGCCTACAATATAAGTCTAAAGTTAAAGTTGAGGTAAGTAATAATTCATAATAATTCGTAATTATAAATTAATTAAATTCAACAAACTCCGACCCGAAAATGTCTTATGTTGTATGATTTTTTTAGATATTTAATAAAGTAAAAAATAAACTTTTTGGTTACAAAAATCTAATTAACAAACGTAAATGCGAGGAGATTTTGGAAAATACCAATAAGAAATACAAATTTAAAGAACCCATTGCTTCTACGTCAAAGGCTTTTGTAAAAAATTATATTGATAATAATAAGGAACCATCGACATCAACATGTTTAGTTAAGAAATCTGTAACTCTTATTGAAGCTGATTAAGTTTTTGATAGTAAGACTGCACAACTGTCTAAAGATAGAGGTTTGTGGCTGAAAATATTGAACTTATGATAAAAAATGGTCCAACCTATTATAACAATTCAAATTGCGTTTTTACAAATGACAAAACTTTCTAAATCATATGTCACTCGTAGGTATTTGGCCAAATAATGAAATCAAGCGTGATTGGCTTCTGTATTCGGAAGCGAAAAATGTAATATTTGGTATTTGTAATTATTATTTGAAAATATAAAGAATTTAACAAAAATTCTATTAAAATAAAACAAACAATTAAGTTATATTACTCTAGTCAATGGCTTACATTGAACTGGATGATTATCCAAGGTAGTACGTTGACATTTAAAAAGTAAAACTTGATTTATATAAAGAAGCTGGTCTTGGAAGAAGGTCACTCAAGTGAGGACTGAGGTCCGAAACTCTTGCAGAAAGGCGAAACACCGTAATGTGCAGAGTACAGTTTTGTGCAGCGATTTGTGTACTATAGGTAAATATCTTTAACTTATTTTAAAAGTGTTCTTGGATTTTGTTTTGAAATATTTAATTGATTTACACTTAAATTTTCGTTTCAAGTATTATATTTATCTTATATATTATATTATTATATAGTTACAGTTTCCATTGCTATTTTAGTTGTTAATAAGTTCAAACTATATAATTTAATAAAATGTTTATCTAATTGTCATAAATCATAGGTCTTTATTAAAAGTTTGGATGTATTATTCTCTAAATATAATGTGATTTATTTATTCTTGGGAGTATTAATCATTTTTTTTTAGTTTAAATATACATTTTTTTTGTTTTCATACTTATTATTTCTCATATCCTTGCCAAAACCAGTTATGAAATGTTCCGAGCATTTGTAAAGCCTCGGCGTATCCACCCTTAAAGAACTAGAAGAGTCTAAAACTATTTGCCAAGAACCGCTCAACTTTGCTATTAAGGAATACCTACTTCTATCTTTTTTTATATATATTTATTTTAATATGTTTATTTGCCTCTGGCGAATGGATGTTCCTTTTGGAATCCAGAACCCTTTGGCTGGTGACAGTACTGTCTTAATTCCTTCATAAAAGTTGTTTCTTATATTATTCTCTATAATTTTTGTTCTATACAAAAATTTCCTAAAATGGTCCGTATTCGAGAAATTTGACAATAATTCTCTATAATTCTTGTACCATACATAATTTCTCTAGAATGGACCTTATTCAAGTTATTTGACAAAAAGTGTAAATTTCGAATTTTAAAGAAAACTCTAAAACGGATAAAGAAAAACACATTCAATTTTAAATTTAAGCTTTATTCTGGCCTGAGGATTCCAGGAATCAAAGACATAAATGATAGCAGCTCATCTTTAAGCTACAAACCATTTATGTCACTATTTAAACTATCAGCATTGGATAAGTATGTATGCAAATCCATGCAGTGTTTAAGTAATTCATTTTTATTAAAAGTGGAAAGCAATGAAATATTGTGAAGAACAAAATAATCTGCATAGACCTTTAAAAGTTCACACATTTCTTCTAAAGATTGAATTATTCTTTCCAACACAACAAAAAATATATCAACCCTGAACTTTTGTTCAGGGTTGTGTATCATTTCATCTTTACCTTTATACAAAAATTGCCTGGTTTCTTTTCTCGGTCGAGAATTTCACTTCGATTTCCAATTTACCGGCTAGTTCTCCAGCATCCACCAATAACTGTTTAAAAAATGCATCTGTTAAACAGCTTTGAAAATTATTTTTAAGTGAATCTAGACATTTAACAGATTCAATAATATTAATGTTGGTACGTTGGAGCAATTTAATTACAGGCTTAATTGTATTTAATATATCGTACCATAGAATGATGCACAACAAGAAATCAAACTTTATTTTTTTCCGGATTTACAATTCTAGGGAACCCCGTGTAGTTGGAGGGATTTCCCTCCCCGTGAAGCAAAATACGTTTTCCAAGTACGGTAATATTTATGCAGATGGTGCTTTGACTTTTATTGTAATGTACCTTTTTTAATTGCTAAGAGAGGTTAGCACTGATTTAATAAAAGTATTTTAATTTGTTTGTTAAATTGGTAAAAATAAAACTTGCGAAGTTAAAAAAATTCTTAGACTAAAAAAAATATGTTACAATTATCGATTATATGTTACACATTATCGTTTAACTTAATTTTAAGGAAAAATTATGTTACAATTACATAATTATGTTGAAAGTGGCAACATTGATTGTCGCCGATTGCTATATATGGCGATCTTTTCGACTTTCATATTTTGTAGAAGACATACCGCGCGGCGCTTTCTTCATAAATAGAGTTTGTTATATAAAAACTTTTAAGAGTTCCCTTCCACATAAATAGAGTGATATTTGTGGTTAGAAATATCATAATTAGAAAAGATTGATATCCTTTTGAGTATGATTAGGAATACGCCTTTAAGTAGTGCATTATATTTACTAACTATATTGCCGTATCATACAGTAAAAAAAATATTTTAATATTTTGTTAAGAAAAATAGCCGCCCCCCAAAAACGGCCGCCTAGTGCGGCCGTACGCTTGCACCGGCTCTAACGACGGCCCTGCATAAACGAAACACAACTGTTACACGATATGCAATTTTTAAAAAATCTTACACTGCAAACACCAACACAAATGTTATACCATGTATTAAAAATAATTTACCTCACTTTTTTTTTCAAATGTAAGCGTAGCTTTGTAAATTTTGTTAACAATGCCTGTATCGGTTGCTTAACACGTTGGCTGCCGATATGAAATTTGTAGCTTTTCTGAAGAAGCCGCTTGACAGCGGGCGTCAATTTCAAAATATTACTGAAAAGCTGCATGGGCTGTCATTTGCAAACCTCACGTTAATAAAGCACCTCAAAAGAAGCCGGCGGTCAATTGACAAATAAGTTATACGTGGATAACTTAAATGCCACCTGGCAGCGGGCTGTCATTTCAAAGTTATTAAAGCTAAGACCTCCAAATGCCTTAAAGTTTAATAACTATGTACCTTATAACAATTTTTAATCAAAATAAATAGTTTTTTGATGTGACGTTTTCGGTAATGTTTATTAAAATTTTGGCGACTATCATTAAATCAATGAACTTGACCGCCGGCGGCCCATGCGGCAGCCAAACTGTTAAGCGGAGAGAACTTTCTCAAAGTTAAAGTTGATCAAAAACTATTTAAGATCATCAACATGCCAACAGCGGCTCGATAATTTGCAATCATATCCATATAAAGTGAATTGTTGAATAATGTAAATATGACTGATCTTATTTTTGAATGCTCTGGAAAGTGCTTAAAGCTACTTTTATTTGGTGTTTTTATTTAAGAATAGGTAATTTTATTTATGTGCTTCGGTTGTACTATTTAATTAGCGATTACAATGTTGAAAGTATATAGTACATGTATAAAATATAAAAATTATATGCGATAACTTAGCAAAAGGTGCCTGTGATCACATTTGCATGACGGAGCTCAAGCGGGTTGCAATGGCCCTAATCTCTAAAATCAATTATTTGATTGAAGTTTATTTTAATTTAAAACAGCCTACAGTTTAGGATTCCAGGAATAAAAGAGTATAAATATTTATCATTTACCTTTGTTATATGCAATAGTATTAAACTTGGCATTTACTTCATCAGGAGTGGCTGCTATTGCTGTCAAAGCTTTACTAGATGAAGCTGCATCATCAACCAAAACAGGTTGCAATTGATCAACAATCATTTGTTTCTCCACTTGCCAAGGACTTGCTTCTGCCACCTAAAAAAAATTAAAAAATTCTATTATTTTGGAATCGATTTTCATTTTTTAATCTCCATACTTGAGTTAGTATAATATATTGAAAATAGGCTGCAAAACCTTCGTTAAGGAAAATATCATTCCACCAGTTGCAAGTTACAAGATCACCGAACCATTGATGGGTAAATTCATGGGCTATTACAGAAACTATGCTTTGCTTGTCTAAATCTGAAGATTCTTTTTCGTCATACAATACCAATCTTTCTCTAAAACAGAAATGTAAATTTATAAATCTGAAACTGTACGCCAAAGAGTGACGAATGGCAACTAGCAGCGTGATTATCTGAGTGTTCAATCATGTAATTTTGAAACACTGTCCTACCTGTACGTAACTAATCCCCAATTTTCCATTGCTCCGGCTCCAAAATCTGGAATAGCCACCTGATGCATTTTCAACAAACCAGTCTGATTATATATAACACCAGTGTAATCTTCAAAAGCGTTCAAAATTAGCTTTCCCCAGTTAGCAGCCAGTAATCTATTTGCGCTCGATTCACCTCTAGAGCACACTTGGTGTATTACATTAGTATCGATATTTTCGCCTTGGGTACAAGTGAAATGGGACACAATAAAAGCAATCAGATACGTTGATATTTTGGGAGTTGTTTTGAAAGTGGTTGTTAATTGGTCATCTCTAAAAATAATAATATGAACAATAAATGAAATACCTATATAAATAATATAAAAACAGATTTATTAATTTACAAGACAACATACATGAAATAAATGTCAAACATTATATTTTGACAAAAAAAAAGAAGAAAACATCCTAAATATTTTTCCCAGGCTTTACGCCTAGGTTTTACACCTAGTAAAAACATGGAGTTAGAAGGTAGGGAGACGGTACAAGCATCTTTTTCAAACATTCAAAACGGTATCACTGGGCGTGGCTTACGACAACTCAATATGGACGATCCGCCAGGTACGGACTATTTTGAATGCAATCCAAACCAACATTTTTCTTTTTTTTTAAGGTAATGTGAGTTATATTTATTAAAATTAAAAAATTAAAACGGACAATTAAGGTTATAATAATTAATATTCAGTAATTCCAGCTATTAACAAAATAAGTTTTATGAAATAAAAATAAAATAAGTTTCAAAGAATAAAAAATGTGTAAGTGGAAGATTTTGTTCGTATTTTATAGAATAATTATAAAGTCCAGAACTTTCATCTGATATAATATATTATCATGGTTTAACATAACATGTTAGACCATAACTGATCTAACATAAAATAATCAAAGAGTTTGACCATAAAACAACATACCATTTTATTGTTGTGATATCTTATGCTATCACATGTTTTATTTTTAATGAGGATAAACATCCTAATGTTTGTATATTAGCTTTAATTAATAGTACTCTTATACAAGGGATGCTGATTAAAAATATATTTTATTTATAAACGACTTGTAACACTGAGGAAACTACAAATTCTGCAGGCATAAGGTGGATAATTTAAATTAATAGCTGCTTTTTTATTATTTGCTCACATTAAAGACAAACGTCTAACACATCCATAGAGGGATACTGTGCGAACTTTTTTATTTTTTTTTTATCGCTAAACAAAAATATTTCTAAGTTTTTCTGGTCTGCGCACAAATAAGCATTTGTTAAGAGAATATATACAATATAGCCGTTAATATATGTTACAATATATTTTGTGGGGTTTGGTAATTATGACATCATGTTCAGTATCGTCTATCACACTGTCGCAACTTTCTGGTAAGCCAAAAGCTCTATACCCTCTTAAAGATTTGTGGATTAGATGAACAAGGCATTTTAAAATTCGAAATTGTTCTAGAGGAATACAATTTCCACGAAAACTTTAACTTCGACATGTACCTACTAATATTTTTTATAAGCTACAGACTTATTTTCAAACATAGGAGAACTCATTTTTCTCAATATTTTCATGAGAAATGTCATGCGTCAATGGGAAAACAGTATTTTTTAAGGCAGTAAGAATTCAAATTCTTGGGAGAATTTTAATTATCTCGAAATACACAAAAAGAAACAGTCAGTAAGTGCTCACTGGCTTTAAAAATATTGTTTTTACGAAGATGTATGACATTTCTCATGAAAATCTTTACAGAAATCACTTTCTCTCGAGATTGAAAATAGCCCCCCGGAAATTGCCGGCGGTGTGGTTATTGTTGTGGCCTCAGTGTGAACAAATACAATCAAAGAACAGCTCTAAGTGGTCTTGCAATTTTAGCACATTAATAAAAACTGCAAATGCCAGTCGGTGTTTAAAATGTTCATTGTGAAGTGCATGAAGTCGATGATCCCAACCTGGACCATCGCATGAAGTTCCTTAAGAAAATATTCCATTACAAGCCACCGAGAATTTAGGTCAACAGAACAATGATGCACTGGAAGAAAATCCACCACTGACCCAAAATAGAAGTCCTGGTCCGACTTTAGATAAAGGGAATATTGCAGAATGTAGTTACAATGTATCACTAGAAGAAATATTGCCACTACCAAAAGCAAAACAGGAGAAAAAAAAAGAAAACGTAAAAGCCAAGGGCCCATAGTTCTAACATCAACTCCGAATATGGAAGAAATAAAACAGTCCCACATCAAACAGAACGGTAAAAATCGGAAACACTATCCAAAAAGACAAAAAGTGACCCTTAAAGTTACCGATCGTTTTGATGATTTTGACAGCGAGGCTGAAAATCCCTTTGACGCTGATGACAATAAAGAAGTATCGTGCATTATTTGTAATGAACTGTTCTCTCAGTCCAAACCAAAGGAAATATGGGTCCAATGCCAATATTTCAAACAATTATCCCATTGCGCGTGCGCTGGAGTATCTTCTAAAGCAAAAATATTCATTTGTGATAAATGTAGAGACCCAAAATTTCGGTATATCTATTTGCCCTAAAGTATCCGCCTAAAATGACACATGTGCTAATATAAAATAAACATTTATTTATAAAAATGTATAGGCTTTCAATGCATATGAAACTTGTTTTTATGTAAGCAAAAGCATCTCGTATTTTTTAAAATAAAATATTTGGACCGTTTCTTATAAAAAGTATGTCATTTTAGTCAAACTTCCCCTAACCCCTGTAAGTAGATACCTACTTTTTACCAAAAAATTTAACTTAAAGGAACAATTTATTTTTGTACCTCACCACACCCTATATAAATACGTTTTACAACTTAATAACTAATCAATTAAATTAATAGCTTTCAAATGATTTCATCTTACTTGGGACTAGTATAGATTAGTAATCGATTGATTACTTATAAAATCAATCAAAAATAAATATGTAATTCTTGTTTTTAAAATTAATTTGAGATTACAAAATGCCGATTTATAAAAAAGTACCTAAATATATTTAGCGTTTTATTGATAAAAGATAAAGACTGAACAGTGAGTGGATTGTAAATAAAAGATTATTTTTCTACGAATTAAATCAGATGACAATTATTTCACCTCCGTATTCTGTATTTTTTCTTAAGTATCTTATCTTTGATTCTGGCTTGATAGGAGTCACTATGTACGTTAAAATTCATATTCCTTACCTACCAAAAATTATAACCTGCCAATGGACCACTCACTTTTCTTACCGTCAAAATGTTTGAATTTTTGATGTGTTAAATTACTTGATGTCCCCATCAAAAGTATCCATGGTCCCAATAACTAGATTTTAAAGTTAAAAATCCCTAATTCTTTAAAATGAATACCAAACATCACCCTTAAATATTTTTAGAAGTTATTCGCTCATTCTGTGTAGTCAATATATACAGTATGGTTCAAATAAAAGGAATAAATTCGTTATAATGGAAGTAGTTGGTTTTTCGAAAAAATGCTCGGACAGGTCAATTTTGTTTACTTAAAGCGCAATTTTTTAAATAGAATTCAATTTTCCCCAACTTCCCATTTTTGTGCAGTGACGTCATTGACAATTTTTTTAAATAGTAACCCCAATTTTTTTTTCTTGATTTTGATAGATCTTGCAATTTACTACTTAGAAACATAATATTTGTAATATCTAACATAACAATTTTTTTTTAATAAAAGTCATTTAAAGATCAGATACATAAATTTTATTTTATTCTGAAACACAATAAATAAATAAAAGATTATTTGTAATTAAGTGCTTCATCTAAAAAAAATAATAATAATAATAATAATAAAAAGAATTTAATGACAATTTCACAAATTCTTTTTTATTATTATTATTATTAATAGTATTATTATTTTGTTAGATTAGGCACTTAATTACAAATAATTATCGTTAATTCATTTATTGTGTTCTCAAAATAAAATAAAATTTATGTGTCTGATCTTTAGATGACTATTATTCAAAAAAAATTGTTATGTAAGATATTTCAAATATTATGTTTCCGAGTAGGAAATTGCAAGATCTAACAAAATCAAGAAAAAAAAATTGGGGTTACTGTTTAAAAAAATTGTCAATGACGTCAATGCCCAAAAATGGGAAGTGGGGGAAAATTGAATTCTATTTAAAAAATTTCAACATTTCTTGTTGATTTTTTCACCTTAAATATTCAACTGTGATCACCCTGTAAGAACGAAATTTTTTGTCTGCTTCCAAATAGTACATATAATAAAAAAAAAATTAAAAAACGCTTAAGTAAAGAATGAAATTCAATTACATTAGTTTCATTTTGTTAAACAATTAAACTCCCAGACTACTTGATGTTTCGAAATACTTGAAAATAAGTAGGAAATAACTAAAATTGGATTTATCAAAATTTAATCAAATCAAATATTATAATATATCAGTGTTAGTAGTAAAAAACACTCTATATAGGTATATATCGGTTGAGAAGGCCATTATAAACCTCGCTGGGTAAATAACCTAAGTGTAAATAAACTATTAACGGGAGACGGTGTAATGCAGGGGCTGGTAACTCAAATGGAAAAACATGAGGAATGTAATTTAGTACCACTCCAATTAACGGAATGGCGCTCGTATCGAAATGTCATGTTAATTGTCAGCTCGTAAAAACTTTAAACTTAGAAAAATTAAAGTGGTTGTTGCATTTGAAGGTGTATTAGATTTTGATTCATCTAGATTTATTTTTCAACACCTTCCAATTTTAAGCATGTTTTCAAAAGATGGCAAGATGGACTTCAGCAACAAGCAATAAAGCACTCCCAGATATTGGTAGTGATGCAATTTATACTACATTAAATATTCGGTCGTCATAATTAAGGATAACCAAATAATTTGTAATGTCTTAAAAAAAAGCATCTTGCATTTTTGACACCACTGGTAAGTAATATTTACAAACTTGATTTAGTGTTAAAATAATTGGTTTATTTAAATTTCTTTTTGTTTTCAGTTTTTAAATGATCATTTTAAAGAAAATGTTGCCCCCCCCCCAAAATACCCTGTCGATCGATGAAATATTTGAGACTCAGCCATCAATATCAAAAATTGATTCAATGCCATTGACAACAAACAAGGAAACACCCCAAAATCTTCAAGGATACAAAAGTGTGTAAGTGTAATTTAAGCTCGAACGTTAAATTCATTTATCAGAGTGACCTGATGATTAATAAGAATTTGATAACTACAAGTGCTGTACAAATCAATAAAACCAATTATCGGATGAAGAAATGCTCCTCAACCTAACTGTCGACTCAATAAGCGTATGGCAAATTTTATTCACACTCAAATTCGCCTTAATAGTTAGATACCAAAAGGATGATGCTTCAAGTTCAATTTTTTCAAACTTATTTGCCACTCCAAGTCGCAAAACTTTTATAAAGGTCTTAAGCACTTATATATGCCGATTTTGTACAGAAAAATTTTTTGATAGGTTTGTTTTATAAATATTTATTTATTTAAATGGTGTAAATGCATATACATAAAGCTACTGAATGTTGATGAGATCAAAATAAGTCGATTGAGCCAAAAGTGCTTCATTTGCCTGTGAGGAAGATTCAAAGTTGAAAGAAAATTTTAATTTTTTTTTAAACACATAAACGCTTTGATTTTTATAAAATTTGATATGTAGTCATTTTAATTCAAAGCAAAAACTAAACCAACTAATCCTATTATAAATAACATCGTATTTTTCTTTAGGACTACCCCTGTTTCTTCAATTTTTATGGAGTGCTGTATTCATTTGTATCAATTTTTTTCTTTCAAAAAACATGTATCTCTCATGGTATTTGTGTAAAAAATTTTATGGACTGATGGTTAGTAACTTAAAATTTGCGGTTGTCAACATTACTAATAAACAATTTAATAATTTTGACATATAAGCTATAGAACTGTACAAATTGTCGATATTACTCATTTTATGTATTGTATTGTTTTGTTTCGCTTCAAAGTTCTTGTGAAGGAGTTATTTCAAACATTTTGTGGCTGGTATGGAGTACCTACACATTTAATGAACAAACTGATATGTTGCTAGTTCTTGATTTCTGTAATGATCTAGGCATTTTGAAAAGGGTACGCTTCAATTTCTAACGACTAATTGAAATCTGCATAAACGAAGGAGGTGGCCATATTGAACATTTATTGTAAAAAAAATTATCCTTCTCTTTTAATTGTTATTTTTCAGTAGATACCTATGCCGGTGTCGTTACAGATGCACCCCCGTACATTTGAGCTCTCGATACATTTGAGACCTCTTGATTTTTCGAATAATGATAAAATTTAAGTGAGACCGTTGCGACCCTACCCCTATTAATCCCAAACAGACGTCGAATAATGAAAGTAGATTTTTTGGTTTACCAGATATATACGGAGTTAAAAGTACTTACGTTAGCTGTAAGTGTAAGACACTTGGATGGTTTGAAATCACCCATTATTTATGGGTCTATCATGTCTCATTACCCAGAATGAATTTATGAATTTCGTCTGGATTTTTATTTGGCCAAAACTCAACAACCATCATTCGGTATAAAAATGTCCGATTGGGCATGTAGAATATTCCAAAAATAATGAAATAGAAATAAAGTTCAAATCCAGGTCCGGCGTAATAAAATGTTATCATTTCTTTTTTTCAAAAACAACACCCTGTGTAACCAAATTTATACCTGATTACCTATTTGTTACTTTTGACTTTATTTCAAACACAAATATTTTGATCTTAAATATTTGACAGTAAATAGCAATCATACTTAACTTTGGAAACAATGGATCAATTTTTAATTTTAATTAACATATCTATTTATTCTTTTTAAAAAGTATTATAAAGACAGGATTAAAATATCATACGACATACTTCCGTCAAGTCTTATTACAGTACTCGTTTATATACAACTCATACTGAGATAAGTCACCTACTGGACTAGTAAAATACTATTACAGTTTTTTTATTATTTGACGTCTGTTTCGGTTATGCATTATTAGTAGGCATTAGCAGGTACCCCAAAAACAGAGTTTGGGTCGCAACTGTCTCACTTAAATTTTACCATTATTTGAAAAATCATGAGAGGATCTCAAATGCATCGAGGGCACAAATGTACGGGGGCGCATCTATCCCGGATTCCTTATGCCTATTTATGATTTTTTTTTATTGTAATAACGTTAAAATTGACAGTGTTTGGGTTGTGGTAGTTATAACCACCAACTTAGTTTTCTTGAAAATTTTAAGTCACTAACCATCAGCCTATAAAATTTTTTTTACCCAAATACCATGAGAGATATATTTTTTGCAAGAGACAAAAAATTCTACAAATAAATATAGCACTCCATAAAAAAAATTGAGGGAACAGAGGCGGTCCTCAACTTTGAAGCTTCCTCATAGGCAAACGAAGCACTTTGTGGTATAGATAACTTTGACTCAATCGACTTATTTTGATTTCACCAACATATAGTAGCTCTATGTACACGAAATTTTGGGACATCAGGTAAAAGAACATATTCCTTAAATGATGTTAACAAATACATCACATATAATGATTATGGATATCTCCTTCTCTTTTTTCACCGAAAATAATGTAAAAATTAATAAATTATTATTATTAATGTACTCACCCATTTTCTTTAGGATCGTCCACTGGTAAAGTATTACTCAAAACTGAATATCCTTTAGGATGGGTGATACTTATATCAAAAGTAGCCTTAAATTTGGGCTCATCAAAACATGGAAAAGCCCATCTAGCGTAAACAGGCTCGAACTGGGTAGTAAGTAGATAGTCGGTCTCGTTTTTGTCATTCTTAAAACTACTTCTATAGAGACCGTACATACTTTTGGAATCTACGTTTCCAGTGTAGGACATAGATAAGACGTATGTCATTTTAGGATCTAATTCAGATTCTAAATTAATCGTCATAATAGAAGAAGTTTTGTTGAATTCATGCGCTTTAATTTTGACTTCGGCGGCCTTATCGTTTTTGAGTTTAACTTCACTTGTTTTTTCAGAGGGTGTATGTAATTTTATATAATCCAATTTTTCGTCCCCTACTTTTTTTACTTTAAAAGTAATTTCTACCATACCATCGAAAGTATTTTTCTTGTTTTCAATTACATCTTTTCCGACTACAATATTCAGTTTGTAATTTGAAGGAATTTGCGTGCCAGGTAACCTATATCCCATATAGTCGTCAGAGGAAACAGCATTATTATAGGCATTGTAGACGGGACTAGCAATTGCAGATGTCAAAAGAAGCGCTATTCCCAAATAGATCATTTTTATCTGAAAATAAATATTTGTTTATTAAAAAAACCGACACTATTATAAAGATGATGAAAAATAAGTTATAGAAAGTCCTCCCACTTTACTATAATTTGAACTATTGTGGTTACAACAATAAAGAATCTGGTTGCAGGTGATATAATGGAAGAAAGTCTAAAAGTCCAAAGTAGAAGCCATGAAGGATCAATACAAATGTTTAATTTGTCCTTATTGGATAACTATCTTAATTTAACCTTTAATTCGATTAATCTTACAAATACGTCTTTCATACTGAAAGCATAAATTTGACTGCACTGGGCATTATCTCTAATGCAAACTGCCAAACACATTGTAGACGAAGACAAAATAAGGTCAGCAGTCTCTATTTTCTCCCCTTTTAAATCCAGCCATACTTCATTGAGGCCTGGAAGAACTCACATTGCACCTGGTGAGTATATTCAGATATTCTTTGCCTCTGCGGTATATTGCCAAAAAAATAATAGATGCAAAAATTCGTACATAACCTTGGAAGGCTGTATTACACTGTCCCAAAAACATACTGGTCAATTAGCCTGACATAGTTTTTTTAAGACATTGATGAGACTATGTGAAAGGTAAAGTGATTACTACAATACTCACTAATTAACTGGAATGTTCCAATGATAAATGGATCCATAACATGCTTTCAAAACTAGCAGTGAATATAAGTGTAGAATGCGAGATTTGGTTGCGATACTATCAGCTCTACAATGGAACAAGGTCAATAATGACAGTCTCTACACAGTAGCATATTATGGAGATGACTTAGTCATTCTACAAACAGTGGTGCAAGGACCATTAGCTTTCTAATAATCCTTTCTAAAGATACTTCAAAGATTAATTTTAGTGAATCAGCTAAAACTTATGTACAGTCCTTAAAAAAGAATGATGCCATATCATTAGAACCGGAAATCATTTTGTTTTTGAATTTTTTAGCCTTTATGATTTCTATTTCACCAATATTAATATACTCTTCACACAGTACCCTGTGAAGAGTACCTATTATAGATTTACTTTCGAGGAACAAACATTTTTATTATTAATCCAAATTAAAAAGTGTTTGCACCAAAATTATATCAACTTGAAATTTTCGGGGAAAATCTAGCTCAATAAGGGGACGAAAAAAATCTGAATAAAAATGAGGGAATAAGAGTTAAAATATAAAAAATTTTTTTTTGTAAAAATCAAGCTCTATAAAGAAACAAGGCCTATTGACATTAAAAAATATCTGAATAAAAATGGGGGGATAAATGAGGAGTTGAAATTAAAAAAAAAAGAAATTCCAAGAAAAAAGAAATATAGAAAAAAAATTCAAAAAACAAGAGACATTTAAAAAGAAATAAAAAAGAATTCGAAAAAGAAATCAAAAACGAAAACCGATACCAACAATTTTTTTAGTAAAAATCAAGCTCTATAAGGGGATGAAAGCTATAAATTCCGAAAAACATCTGAATAAAAATGAGGGTTTAAATGGGTTGAAATAATAAAAAACTTAAAAACAAAAAATAATATCAACTTGAAATTTTAAGCAAAAATTCAGCTTTAAAAGGAGACGAAGCCTATTGATTTTGAAAAATATCTTAATAAAACTAGGAGGCTGAAATTTAAAAAAAAATCAGAAATCAAATACGTAAAATGATATCAACATGATATGTTTAGGAAAAATGAAGCTTTATAAGAGGAAGAAAGCTGTTGATTCTGAAAAAAAAATATTAAAAAGGGGGTTAAGGGAAGGGGTTTGATAAACTGTGAAGTGTATAATATATTTTCAATTTATTATTATAAGATTGATAAGCAATTTGTTGTTTAATTTGTGACCTAATTTGTTTTTATATTGTTCGAGAAAATGTATAACATTTGTTATATTTTTTGAGGAATTTCTCTTTGTTTTTAATAATATTAGATAATAATGATATAGAAATCAAACCATGATGAAATCTCACATTTAAAATGATTAGATATATCTATGCAGGGGCTCGCTCGCCTACCATATGTGCGATGTGTACAACGTACACGGGCGGCTAAAAATTTGGAAAGACGAAACGTGCAAAAATAGTAGTTTGTGCAACAATAGTGAATATGGACAATCCATTCGAGTTGTACAGTATATTTTTTCTACGACCTACTAAAGAAAATCTACAAATTTAAAAAATTATTTTAAGTTATTAAGACAAAATAATGAATTTTAAAATAATTTATGAATTTTACTAATTTCTAAAATAAAAAAAAATCGATCCCGGGCTTTTCACGTGGAAGGCAGATCTGTTCTCACCTCCACCGCCACTTTTAGGATTCTAGTTTTAATACTCGTAATTAAATTAGTTTCATATAGTTTGATTAATTTTTTTTTTAAATGTAGACCAAATAAAAATGATATTATTTATCGATTTCATACAAAAATGACTTATTTGTATGCGTATTTAATCCCAATAACTAAAGAATACACTGACAATTAGTTAACAGAATTATCAAACTGTGATTGGTGGATTTAATTTTTTTGCAGTATTCTCACCACCTAGAATGGATAAGAAATATATTCGTTCTGTTGAAGGCAATAGCATACTTTTTCGTTTTTTAGTATGTGCGTAGATAGCTAATATCCATGTGGGTGTAGAAAAAATTTTAATTTCACAAGTGTAAAAATTGAGTACAGAGACTAATGTAAAATTGGTCTACAGTATCGTTAATATTACTGTTTGCTGATGACATTGCTATTATAGCTATGTAGATAAAGCTATTGAACGGCACGAAATAGAAAGAAAAGTTAAAAGTGTTTAGAAAGCACAGTGGAAAATAAGGAGAAAGAAAAACCAAGAAAACAGTAACTGAGAGACATGTATGATTTCTTAATTTCAAGCTTTTAGTGCATTTAAAAAAATATTTTGTTGAAAAAATACATCAAACTTACCCCGTATATCGTTCAGCTGAAAACACGATATAAGAAATAATGAGTATAAAATCCGATTTAAAGTACTATTTATTCATTTTGTTTATCAATAAAATCAATTAGACTACAATAGATATTTCATAATTTAGGTGATAAGGATAAAAATAATTGATTCTTAAAAAAAATGTACATCTGAAAACCGGTTTTGTTTTTAAATATCTCAGAACGTAAATATGTCAAGAGTTAAAAGATTGATTAATTTTGGTAATTCACTGATTGTTCTTCCAAAGTCAAAAGCGTCATTTGCTTCAAATTTTATGAAAGTAAAAGTTGACTGTTTTAACAAGGCGTGCTGCTATTGAAAGCAGAGGATACAGTAATTTGTGCAACAAGAGCGGCGATATGGACAATCCACTCGAACTATAAGACATATTTTTCTACGACTCACTAACGAAAATCTACAAATTTTAAAAATTATTTTAGTTTATTAAGGCAAAATAACTAATTTTAAAAGAAATTATGACTTTTACTAATTTATAAAATAACATAAACATGGCAGCCAAACGCCCTGGTCCAGTGTTGCCAGAATATATTTTTGTAATGTACCAGATTTATCTAAAAAATGTACCAGATTTAATAAAAATGTACTAGATTCTATAAAATTACCAGATTTTTCTAATTATGAAGTATGGTCATTAAAGAGCAATAAAAGGTTTATAGAGAATACAAACACAACAATTTTAAATAAAATTTTATCTCTCGACAAATTTCTGACACTATTATATATCTCGAGCAGTTTTTGAATAAGATTTTAATACCTTTTGATACTCTTTTATCTCTTTTCAAACAATATTTTATCTCTCGATAAATTTCTAACCGTATTCTATCTCTCGACCAATTTTTAACAACTTTTTTTATCCCTCGAGCAATGTTTGTACAAAATTTTTAACACTATTTTATCTCTCGAGCAATTTTTGAAAAAGATTTTAATACACTTTGATATTATTTTATCTCTCGAACAGTTTTTAAAAAAACCCTTTTTTTATCCCTTGAGCTATTTTTAAAAAATATTTTATCTCTCGATAAATTTCCAACAGTATTCTCTCTCGAGCAATTTTTAACAACTTTTTTTATCCCTCGAGCAATGTTTGTACAATTTTTAATACTATTTAATCACTCCAGCAATTTTTAACAGCCTTTTTCTTACCTTTTAAGTTATTTTTGAACAATATTTGATCTTTCGTGCAATTTTTGAGCAAAATTTTAACAATTTCTAACACTATTTTATCTCTCGAGCAATTTTTGAAAAAGATTTAACATCTTTTGATAATATTTTATCTCTCGAACAGTTTTTAAAAAACCTTTTTTTATCCCTTGAGCTATTTTTAAAAAATATTTTATCTCTCGATAAATTTCCAACAGTATTCTATCTCTCGAGCAATTTTTAACAACTTTTTTATCCCTCGGCCAATGTTTGTACAATTTTTAACACTATTTAATCCCTCGAGCAATTTTTAACAGTTTTTTTTACCTTTCAAACTAACTTTTGAACAATATTTGATCTCTCGTGGAATTTTTGAGCAAAATTTTAATAATTTCTAACACTATTTTATCTCTCGAGCAATTTTTATTAACATTTGTTATCTTTCTAACAATTTTTAAACAATGTTTTATCTCTCGAAAAATGTTTAACAGTATTTTTTAATTCTCGAGTAATTTTGAATAAGATTTTAATAACTTATGATACTATTTTATCTCTCGAACAATTTTTAAACCTTCTATCTCTTGAGCTATATTTAAACAATATTTTATCTTTCGATAAATTTCTAACATTATCCTATCTCTCGAGCAAATTTTAACAACTTTTTTATCTCTTTAGCAAACTGCACAATATTTTAACTCTCGACAAATTTATAAAAATATTTTAACTCTTGATAAATTTTTAACAATGTTTTATATCTCGAACAATTTTTGTACAATATTTTATCTCTCGAGCATTTTCTAATAGTATTTTATCGATCGAGGAATTTTTAAACAATGTTTTATGTCTCGAGAAATTTCTAATAGTAGGTATCTCTTGAGTCAATTT